TGTGTACTTATATACTTCTTTGTACAAATCAACCCCGGAAGCAAGGATCAACAAATTCAAATACCGAATATCCTTTCGACTCAATACATGCACATGCATGTTTGCATGGAAGTTATCCAACTGCCAAGATTTGCATGTACAGGTCCTAGTCTCTAAATCAACACCATACGACTTATCTTCTTCATACACCTCATAACGCGTACCACTGGATCTGGTATATTTTAATAAGCGAGAGGCCGTATAGTTGATTAATAATCTCTTTTCAACTCTTGGACACATTGTACCAGCCATGACTAAAGAATCTTCCTATCGATTACCTATCATCTTCATTATTTTGATTCGTATCGCATCAATCATGGATGGAACTGGCAAAGATCGTTCATCTTTAACCCAACCATTCCAGCAGTCAACTTGGTTACTGTTCATTATTCCCCATCTATCTCCAGAAAAGTAAGCATTGGCCCAACGATTGGGATCCAAGTCTCGGATAAATGATTCTGCACGAGGCATTGATTGAACTATAAGAGAAATATGTTCCTCAAACTCTTGCCGAGTAGGAGCAATTGCAGCCTTATGTAGAATACTCACCCAATATGCTTTGTATTGCAATGGATACGATCTTATAAGTTCTAAAGTTATACTCCAAATGTCGCAAACAATAAGCATGGTTGCTACCAGGAAATACCAGTGGAATGGCTTTAATAAGCCCCGAATGACGATCAGAGAAAATTGTGTAATTTTTCAATAAACCCCCATTTTGATAAACAAGAATCTCTTTCAGCTTATTACAAAACCACTCCCAATTTCTATCATTCTCGGCATCAACAATTGCATAGGCCAATGTGTACAGCTCGTCATTTGGATCTTTGGACACAGCAGAAAGTAAGCAACCTTTGTACTTATTTTTAATATGAGTCCCATCCAAACATATCATTTGCCTACACCCACGGTGGAAATTCAAAATAGAATTTCCAAAACTAATAAAGATCCGAAGAAACTTTTGAGCTTGAGGGTCAATCTCATAATCGGCACAACTACCAGGGTTATTCAGTTTTAATGCACGACAATAACGTCTCAGTTTATCATAACAGTTCGACTCATCCCCATGAATGTCATACATTGTTTTTTCCTTACATCTCCACGCCGTATAGTACTTAAGCTCCACACCGTACTTTCTTTGGACCTCATTCAAAATAGCAATTGGTTTGTAACCTGGCTCATCTCTCACTTTTCGTTTCATAAGTTGCAAAATCCACGTAGCATCGGCTTTGGGATGACCCCTTGTACGAAGAGTAGTATCACCACAACAGTGCTCAAGAATACATTTGCGAATGCCGAATAAC